GAGAAACTATTGCCAGCCCATCCCTTGACACAGTCCCCTCTCTCTAGGGCGACCGGTCAGTCAAGCGGACAGGAAGCTAAGAGGCCTCTTAATAATACAATTTAAACGACCACTAATATAGAGACACAATTACATGTTGTGTGTCCTAGAGTCGGCACACCAGACTATCTCTATATCTACGCAGACAATGATTGTGAAATTAACCAAATTAGGCATGTACGCTTTCAATTTGTTTTTCTTTTCCATTTAGCCAGACTAAGCCTCAGCAACCAGGGCCAGTTATGGCCATTATATGTCTGTTAGGTCTGTCTGACTGTCTGTCTGTCTGTTAGGTTGACCTGGAAACCAACGTCATTAAAAAAAAAGTCCAGCTCCATCAGAACCTGAACCCAGCCTTCGGTTTTGCAGGAAAGCGTATAGCTGCTACACCCTGGCGGCTCAGTCGAGGTTGATCTCTATTACAATATGATATGTGCAAGCTTAATTATACATGTATTAAGGTGGATTAATAGAAACAGGATGCCATGGACCTTGTCGAATTAATGGGTAAAATACAGAAAGGAGTAGGGATAAAGGATAAGATGACTAGACAGGTTCAGAGCTGAGTGTCTAAAAAGAAGCACATTAAATACACGAGACAGCAATAATGGTCCTAAAATTCCATCCTCCAGCTGTGGAAAACTTTTCTTAACGTGAGCGGTTCCTGTTAGACACACTTGCCATATGATGTGTTTCCCATGCCTCTATACAGCACAATAAGAAGAAACTCCACAGGGGAGCATGTACAGCAGGAGTCTACCAATCATCAGTAGAAGTAATCTCTCGTCGACGAATGTTTCGGCCCACTAGCTCCTAGGCATTTTCAGAGAGTGGGCCCACCTGAGTTCATGAAGCTCAGGGTTGATCTGCTCCTGCTGCACGTATTACCAGATGTTTTCGGACAGGAACCAGACGAAATTGGTGACTGCGCAAAAGGTACTGTTAGATTCGAAGTGTATTTACATAGTCGCTGCGGTAGCATAATTAGAGCAGCCAGCATACATGGACGACCAAGTGGTAAGCTTACGGTTGGTTTATCGGACACATGTTAGACTTTGTTGGCAGATGGCAGAGAGACACCGGCAGACTATTCGGACACGATGGACTTTTAAGGGTTAAGACTTTCTTTTTCACTAGACACCTGGACCAGCTCACAGGGGCCCACCCTCCACGACGTTCCGTTGTGTCCAGAGCCAGCTCGAGGCCCTCTCTGCAGCCTCGCGCAGTTGTTTTCGTAATCGTTTGCGCTCATCTCCTCGCAAGCCCAGTTGTTTTATCACATTGTACATAGAAGTGGAAAAGAGATCTCTTGCGCCTACCCCGACGGCGAACATTTTTACTGTGTACGCTTCGTCTCTCCTCAGACCAGCCGCTAAGTCACTGTACTCGAGCTTATACATGTGGCTTTCGTCCATTCGCTTCTCATATGGCACGGTCAGGATGAGCTGACGTTTCTCCGCAGAGTGTAGGACTATGTCGTGTCGCAGGCCAGTCTTCTGGATTAACTCTGGGTACTTTTCGTGACAAGACAGGTCAACCACCAGTAAGTAACCAGTCCCTCGCACAGTCAAGCATCGATGGAGCTGTTGCGACCTTGTTGTATTTACCTTTATAAATCTGCCCAGCCTTGAGTAAGCGCACGGGGACGACGGTAGAACTGGCCCTCGCATTAGCCCTCATCCTAGCTTGGTCCACAACGGTCGCTTACTCTTTCAGGACCTTGTTGTGGCGCCACATAATTCTACTCTGACCTAGGGCTTTCCTGCAAGCGGACAATATGTGCTCGAGCGTCTGCTTAGCTCTACATAGCGAGCATGTCGGGTCGTTAATCGCATTCCACTTGATCATGTTGACACCGGACGGTAATACATCGTAGGCAGATCGTACGATAAAGCTCAGTCGCAGCGTGGCCATTCGCCAGATCTCACCCCATGTGAGTACTCGTGGCAAGGCGCTCTCTAGGCCGATCCACTGGCCTTGCTGCGTTCCCGGTGTCCCTAATCTGCTGTATCACCATGTCTCGGCGCTCTTTGGTTGTGGCTTCGGACCATAAACTGACTTTCCCGTGCCCCAGGCCTCGACGGTCGGTTTGAGTGTAACCCATTACCTTTCTCAATTTCAGTGCACCTTGGACAGATTCAACCGCATCTGGGACCTTTCATTTGACACTTGTCTTTAGAGCGGGCTAGACAGCAGTGACAGTGGGGTCTGAAGACTCCCCCAATATCATCGAGAGTCTTACTTTGCTAACTTTAAATACTTCGGTTATTGATTTGAACGGTAGTACCAGCTTCGTCTGTTTACAATACAGAGCCACATTAGTCAGACAAGGTGGTGCTCCCAACCATTTCCTCATGGCTGTGTTGATTTTACGATCCATAGCCTCCACTGCCGTCATCGTCACTTCGTAGACGAGCAGCGGCCAGAGGAGCTTCGGGATCAACATAAATTGGAGACACCAGACCTTAAACTTTCCGATCAGCCTACTACGCTAGATCGCGAGTAGGGCTGTAATTAGCGACTCGTGGATTCGCAGGACCTCCGATCTATCAGATAACTTCAAATCGTAAACGCGACCAAGGCTCTTCACCAGTTCCTCTAGAACCGTTGGGATCCGATTTCTTGCCACCGTGAAACTGATCGCCGCCGCCTAACCTTTTAGGATTAACAGACTCCTTGACTTCTGCGGTTTGAACTGCATACCGCTCCATTGGACTACATCGTCCAATAGTTTCAGAATCGTGCGGGCAGATTCTTCACTGCCCGTGATTATAGTCGTGTCATCCATAAATGCACTTAGTGGCGGCATCTAGTGGTCCCCAGTCTGAAAGCCCTGTCCATAGCCGGCCGCCCCGTCTAACATAACCTGCATGGTCATAACGAACAGTATTGGTGAGATCGTACATCCCATAGCTATCCCAACCTGGAGCTCAGTCCATCTCGTAGTAAACGTCGGGATAGAGAAGCGCAAAGCGAACTTTGAGAAATTTGGCTCGATCATTCCGTTGATCTGTGTCGGTCCGTGGAACATGCGAAGGGCCTGCCACGGTAGCTTATGGGGAACTGCGCCATAGGCGTTGGCGAGGTTAAACCATATCACGTGCAACTGAGTTCTCTCATGCTTGGCTCTCTGAATAGACTCCTAGATCCTGATCGCGTGTTCAAGGCACCCAGGGACGCCCGGGATTCCACCTTTCTGAACACTTGTATCGATGTATTTGTTCGCCATCAGATATTGTGTGAGCCGGCGAGCCATAACCATAACCATAAGAATATTTTGCCCTCAACATTCAACAGCGAAACAGGTCTGAATTGCGATAGACTCGTGGAGTTTCGCTCCTTGGGAATTTAGACCCCGTTGGTCAGTTGCCACTCGGAACATATGTGATTTCGGCTCCACGCTAATCTCAGGAAGTGGTGAAGCATTCTGAGGTTTTTCTGGACAATGCTTGCACTCGACGTACGGAACACCATTCGGCCCTGGGGAGGACTTGCCGCTAGCTATTTTCACAACTTCTTCGACCTGAGACCAAGAGGGAGGTATCATTTTAAATGGTACCTTCGGCAACTCAGGCCGCTTTAGAAACTTCGGTTGCTCGAATAGACGCGGGTAAATTGAAACAGGTCCCTAAAGAATTTCTCTCGCTCCCTTTTGGTTCTCCGTCTGTTGTTACAGAAACGACCAGCGCGACAGAGGGCACTGTGCCTGGCTCTCAGGTGCAACCAGACCTTGTACAGCCCCTCCTGTTCGCTGCCTGTAGCAGCTTTGAACCGTTTTCTGAGTGCGTTTTTGTCTGCCCGGCACTTCAGAATGTCCCTTTGTCTCCTGCTTTTATTTTGCTTGACGCCCGGCTGCGTCTTCTCGACTGTCCCGAACTCGAGGGAACAGTGCTCGTATATTATATCACCAAACCCTATAAGCAACCCTGTGGAGCTCTTTCACATGTACATTACCAACCCGGCCGATGGGCAATAATCTCAGTCCGGTCTCTGGCAAAGTCGTCACTGTTAGTATCTAACTGATTGGATCCATTATTCTCCACCTCTTTCGATGGACCATAGGGACATATTTACTTCTGCATTTTCGAAATCGGAGGTATTATACTGTGTTAGCGGTGATCAGCCCGGTCCACAGTCGACATCTGTCTCCTGAAGTCAGTCAGGGGCGATACCGGGGAGCCAGTCTTCCCATAGGTGTCCGCCAGTCTTTCCTGGCTGTCTAGTGGGCTAGCCACGTACAATAAGAAGAAACTCCACAGGGAAGCATGTACAGCAGGAGTCTACCAATCATCAGTAGAAGTAATCTCTCGTCGACAAATGTTTCGGCCTAGACATTTTCAGAGAGTAGGCTCAGTGACTTCATGAAGCTCAGTGTTGATCTGCTCCTGCTGCACGGGATATACCTAATACTGTCGTCTGGAAAGACAGAAAGAACCTGGCTAACAACAAACATACCTGTTGCAGACACAAAGTAGGTGCAAATTTATGACTGGAAATACATCGGTCATGCACTCAAGAGTGGATAAGATCAGACTCCTCCATCAAGCCCTTATATGGACACCAAAAGGGAAAAGAAAACTGGGAAGACGAAGAGAAACCCTGCGTAGAACCATCATCAGGGAAGGCTCAACTATGAACAATGAACATCCAAGACCCAAAACAGGTGGCAACAAACTGCGAGACATGGAAAACTATGGCCTCTGCCCTATGCGTCCACCTAGCCTCAAGAAGAAAGACTAACAAACTAACAACAAAAGCTGGCTGCAGTGGATATGTCCATCCCCTGCTGTCTTGTGGAGTATTAGGCGGTGAGAATCTCTTAGACGGTATGACTCTCACAGCATTGTCAAGAAAGCCACAGGAACAGTCTACATATTTTTTTTTATACCACAACAAACACAAAAGTTTAGGTCAGCAACACATTTTATTCTGAACAACAAAATTAAGAAATAACGAAACAATTATGTTTTATTCACCACTTTAACACCATCTCTACCTGGATGAATAGTCTGTAAACAACTAATAACTTTCGGCAGACTCTGTACATGAGGAATCGACTCTGTCAATTGAAAAAAAAATAGATATCTATATATAAAAATGGTTACAATGATTTATTTAAGTGTCATGGATTAAAATTCCAGTAGGGTAAAATAATATTTTTTAACCACTTACACTCAGGAACATCCTGAAGCACCAATTTATCAGTGATTTATTGTTGTTTGGTTTACAAAAAGTTCACTTGAATTGCACACTTGAAAAGCTCCACTGTCTCCATAAAAATGTCTAAAAAGCAACTAATCAGGGTTGTTTCTTTTGAAATTAGAGTACACCTGCAAGGAACCAACAGGCTGCATACAAATAAGCTAAATCAAGTTCAGAAACAAGACCAAATTCAGAAGTGGATAAATAACCATAACAGCTTACAATTTACAGCTGGTGAACACGCAGAAGAAGAAGAAGAACAGCAACAAGCAAAATATTAACTGTATTAATGCTTGTGCCTTGCTAGATGACAAAACCTATGAGTAGGGTGGAGCTCAGGGATAAAGCTTAGCTGGTATACATGGGTACATTAATTTAACAAGTGTCACAGAAAGACCTAGACAAAATTACAGTGAATCCTGAGATGAGGAATGTGTGGACTTCTAGTAATTTCCCCTGGTCTCTGGGTAGTGAGATCAAAAGCCTGTGTGCATTGTTGCACATGTAAAACATCTCTTGGCAGTTAGAAATTGAAAAGAGCAGCCTAATGGCGCTGCCGTGCAGAATGTGGAGTTGAAAATCTACCCAAAGTATTTCAGGATTCTCACCGGTGCAATAGATTTTGTGCACTGCACTGAGATTCTTCAGACTCAGGCTTGGGTTAGAAGTAGAACGGAGTACTTATGGGTTACACTCGTGTGCCATAATGTTGATCCACTGTATAAACATAAATATAAACCAGTTAACGGCAGAAGAGGGTTTCTTTGGAATCCCCAAAGTAAAAGAAATATAGGATGATTAATAAAAAAATAAAAAATAAAGCAATCTCATGCACACATGGATATAAGAATCCGAGAAGAGTTAAGTGATATGGGATGGGCATGGAGGGAGTGGCAAGAAATAGCAACGTAAGAAGGGGTTGGACTGAAGCTTGTGATTATCTATGCTTCATAGTGGGGAGGGGTTGGAAGAGCAGCAGCAGCAGTATGGCAGAACTGGAAGAGAAAAGTTAAAGATGAGAAAAAAGAAGGAGAGCGGGTCAAGGAGGAAAAGGAAAAAGAAGAAAAATGAAGAAGCAGCTGCAGAAGGAAAAAAAACAAGAGAGAGAAGTAAGAAGAGAAGTAGTAGAAAGAGAAGAAAAATAATATAATGATCTAGAAGTCAAAAGAGGAAGGAGGAGGAGATTGAGAAAGAGAAGGTGGAAGAAGAGGGGAAAGAAAAGAGGGAGGAAAAGGAGAAGGTGGAAAAAGAGTTGATAAAAAACATAAAGATTTAAAAGCAACTGATTTACAGGTGATTCTCCAAGTGACTCCCCATAAATGACCTACACAAGTGTTCAGCCTGTGCAAAAGGAGTTCAGAAAATAAGACACATGCACACTTGATTGATCTTTCTTTACCAAGCAAAAGAGAAAACACAGACTTGTTCACATATCTGTTTCTACAATAGAAGGTCACATTGTATTACATGCTATGGGCTAGGGAAGGAATTATCAATAATGTTTCATCATTTGATTACTGAGATGACCTTTGTACAGTTTTGAAGACTACTGTGATCAATAGTTGCAACAATACAGAATGTTTGTACAGATCTATGCAGGATACGGGCAGATAATATATCTTTATATATTGTTAAAAATTTGTAATTAAATGATTTAGTATTACTGCCTAAGAGATACTGCCGTATGGAGCTGAAACAAGGAGAATGGCTGATACAGCAATATACTGCAAACAATTTAACTGATGCTTGTGCAGAATTGAAAGAATTAAATGGAATGTAGAATCACTAAAGTTCCAGTGGACCAAGAAGTGAAGAAAAGACGGTGGCATTGGATAGGACACACACTGAGAAAACCTCAGAGCAATATAACTAGAATGTCTTTGCACTGGTACCCATAAAGGCATTGAAATAAAGGATGACCAAAAACACACGGAGAAGGGAGCTAGAAAGTGAAGTCTAAAAGATGGAGAGAGCTGCATGTGAAAGCGAGGGGTAGAATGACTTGGCGTGAGTTGGTTGAGGGCCTATGCTCCACTGGGGGCTAAAAAGGCAGGAAAAGAAGAAGACAGATCTCTCTAATGCTGAGCTTTGGAACTCCAATGAATCAAGATGTGAGAAAATTAAGCTGGTGCTGCATAAGGCACACACTGAAAAAACCCTGATAGTACTATGACCAGAGTGTCCATGCACTGGAACCAAACCCCCCCCCCCCCCCTCCCCCCACTCCCAAATAAGATGTACGACACCTAAAAAAATGGGAAAAGAGGATTAAGGACAGAGGTTAATAAGATGGAGAGGACATAATGGTCAGCTGGACAAAAAGACTGGATTGTGTTGGTTTAGGACAGGGCTATTCAGCTACATTTATTCAGGGCCAACATTCTGAAAATAGGGACTGTCACGGGCCAGGGACCCAAGTCCTAGCACAGAAAGCTCATTAATACAATACAACTGGCAATGATCTGCAGACCACTTTTAGTGGCGAGGCATCAGTTGCAAAGTCTTGGTTTAGGACCTATTCTCTCTTTATGTACAACAGAAAGGACTGCACTAGAGAGATGCAAAAACTTAACTTGAAACTTAACTACTGGACTGAAGGAAAGGTTCTTTGAAACCTTATTTGAAAGCTAAAAGAGAAGGCCAGACTACAGAATATGAGCTTAAATTGCAGCTCATACAGGAGAAACAATTTACATTAAATTAAGAGCAGTACAGGTAAAGCTGAAGGAATAATAACTGTAATCGCATAAGCGGCAGTAAGTTCGTAGTGTATCCTTTACAGGACATTGCAGACCTGCCCCAGCATTTTTTGGCTATTGTGGTTTTTCCAGGCAAATGTTACATTCAGTAGTTTGTCTCTGCTTCTGAACAGTCACCTCTCGGTTGATCTATTGACACAAACACAAGACAAACCATCCGCAGCTGGGATTGAACCCAGTACCCTGGCATTACGAAGTGTGTTTGCAACCAAAAGTAGCAGAGACCATTGCTAGATAAAATGAGTAATGAAGATGTCTGGAAAAAAAGGAACTCATGAAGGGAACTGACTACCCACAGCAGAAACAGACAATCTACTTTCTATGGTCATGTCATGAGAAGGAGAAATTTAGAACACACTGGATGGTAGTAATATTGGAGGGGTAAAGAGGCAGGGGCAGTCTGAGAGAAAGATAGACGGTCTGACATTATGGCATGAAAGATCCTCTGGGTCAGACATAACTGAAAAAAAAAAAAAAAAAATATATATATATATATATCACAACAGTCAATCCAAAATGAACCCTAGCTATCAAAATACCTAGACACTACTTATGTAACACATTATACAGAACACTGTCACCATCAAATGCTTCAAAACACAGAGGGGCTACGATACCCTAAAAAAATACATTACCACAAGCTATCCGTCACTAGAATATCACTACAACATGCTAAAATTCGAAACCCTCACTCTATCAGAGGTTTCCTGTCTCATGTCCAATGTCTGACTCCTCTTGTGCAATCTTCTCTTTTGTCACAGAAGGTTGATTTGATCATGTTTCAACCCTGTATCTTGTATGGGTTCCGGGACCCATTGTGGGGGAAAACAAGAAATAAACCCATTGAACACCCAAAAGCACATAGTAGGAGTTGATTGGGAGCTTCCTTCGAAGTTGTAGTGCTTCTCTGCCTGAGAGGACAGGAATCACCAGCCTGCATTACAATGCATTTGATCAGTAAGAAGAATGTGCATGCAAAACGCAGGACTGTAGTCCAGAAGTGGACAGACAGCTAGAACTTTCCGCTGAAGTATACAGTCGGTGAACGCGAAGAAGAAGGGACTGGTCTGTCCTCTATTCTCACCAACTTACCATAGCTCTATACAACTCTGAATCTTAAGGTTTTAAATACCTGTGTGACACTGCTATTATATAGATGTCTTTTTTCTTTGTAAATTTTTCCACATATTAAAAGATTTCAAGATTTAAAATTTAAGGGGCAGATTTGATCAGACCAGGTTTTTTCCACAGGGCTCTTTCTATCTCTCTCTCTCTCTCTCTCTCTCTCTCTCAGCAGAACAGCATCACACAAAGCCTGACCTCCCTAGCTCCAGTGGTAATCCCCATGGATCTTCATAAAACTGCACTCAAAAGCTGAATGAGGCAGTGTGTAAAATAAACGCATGATGTTTACAACCTTAAGAAAAATGCTTTATCACTTAACCATGGAACCCATAAGACAATAAACGCATTCGAGCAGGCACCAACATTAAAATTCCATCGATGGATTGCTTTGTTTACATTGCTGATGAAGAATCTGTGTCACTAAACTCAGCTCAACTCAGCAGAAAAACCATAAGCTTTCAGTCTTCCTCCACAAAAGCTGACGGAAAGGAGGAAAAAGGAGATGATTTCTTTTTTTGCTTGGTAGCTTCTTTTTAGCGTTCGCCGGCTGTAATCTCTGGCAGAAAGTTCTGGTTGTTCGTCCACTTCTGGGCTCTAATCTTGTTCCAGAATGTGTGTTTTGCACGAATACCCATTTTACAGATCTGGCTTTTTTATATGCAGACTGTTGGTTTCTTGCTTCTCAGATGCATTTCAGCCTCAAAGGAAACCCCTAATTATTCGACTCTTATGACATGCTTGTTAGGCAGGCAGTGGATCTACTATTTTTTTTAAACCACCCACAATAAGGCCCTGAAACCAACATAGGGAGTTCTGTAGCTAAACATAAGCCTTGAATCAGAACATTACATCACATGATTCACCAGTTCTGCACTGGCCAGATTCTTTTGATCACAGATGACATTTATCTCATAAGAACTGTGTTTAAACAAATGTGATCTACACTGACAATGCACGTTTGAAGAACTAAAATTTATAATAACATACTTTTGAACAAATGTGATCTATAAAAACATTTATCTGAAGAAATTTGATCTATATTGATAACACTTGTTTTGAATAAATGTGATTTATAACAATAACGCATGTTTGAAGAAATGTGACTTGTAACAGCATATGCTTAAATAAATGTGCTCTGTCATGACACACATTTGACGAAATGTGATCTATAATGATAACAAACATTTGAAGAATTGTAATCTATGCTGATGACACATATTTGAAAACATGTGATCTATAACATAAATTTGTAGAAATTAATCTGTACTTATAACACATGTCTGAATAAAGATTTTTGTTGGCATCATATGTTTGAAGAACTATAATCTATACTGATGACACATATTTGTGTTAATATAAGTTTAAAAAGTAATGCACTTTTGTCTGTACTTCAAGATTAAATGTCAGATGCATGCCCGTTAAATAGAATTTCAGAATCAATTACCATTCTGCTGCATCTTTCCAATGTTTGCTTTCTTCCCACAGGAAAGCAGGAGTATTTCTCCACACATGTGTGTAGGGTGAGGGCATGTAAACATTACATGTGATATTTGCTCAACAGAACACTGACACACAGATAAAAGTCAATGCAGTTGTTTCATAAACCTGGAGTCTTTATAGCAAAGAACTAAGATGTAACAAAGGCAGGTAGAGACAAAGAGGCAGAAGGAGGGAAGAACAGAGAGAAGGAGAGAAAGGAACATAGAGAAAGAAAGGCAGACAGAAACAGAGAGAGAGATACAGAGAAGGGAGAGAGTGGGAGAAAAAAAGAACAGAGAGGGAGGGAGAGGTAGATAATATGAGAGAGAGAGAGGGGAACAGAAAGAGAGTTACAACCCATGGTTCTGTCAAACACTCCTAAAGAGCAGTGGACATAAAATAAAACTGAGAGATACATCAACAGACTAAAACTGTCAGGCCGAAAGAAAAGAATGGGGAAGAGAGTGAGAGAAAGGGGGGGGGGGATAGATGCCTGTTGATCTGGTAAATAATTTAATCACAAGAATAAAAATGCTGCTCTGACCTTACACCAACACCCCACTCCCTATACATACATACACACATTTTTATAAGTATGTAATAATTGGTACTGTTTTCACTCTTCCAGCAGTGAACAGCAGAAAAACAGAAGTAATGAAGTAATTACAAAGAAAACTGACCCTCCAAAATGCAACATCAAAGTAAATAGGATAAACCTCAAGCAAGTTGATATATTCAAGTACTTGGGTACCCTGATAACATCAGATAGAAGATGTATTAAGGAAGTTAAATGTTGAATAGCTCAAGCAATGGCAGCATTTTACAAAATGAGGAATATTTTATGCAGTCTTTCTTTGTCAATTGAGATGAGAAAGAGAATTCTTAAAAGTTATATAAATTCTATATTGATATACAGATGTGAATTATGGACAGTTAGTAAATTAGTGCAAACTTATTTGGAAGCTGCGGAGATGTGATTTTACTGACGAATGATGGACAAATAAAAAGAGTAAAGAAGACGTCTTGAAAGAAATTTACTCACGATGAGAACTGACTGTCCACATCAGAATTATGTTTATGTTTATTCAACGGATCAACAACATGGCACACGGTTGTAACCCGTAAGTGCTCTGTTCTTCTTTTAACTCGTCTGAGTCTGAAGAATCTCAGCACAGTGCACAAACTCTGTTGCACCAGTGAGGATCCTGAAATACTTTGGGTAAATTTTTAACTCAAAATTTTCCCTGGGCAGCGCCGTTAGGCTACTCTTTTCGGTTTCCAACTGCCAAAAGATCTTTTACTTGCACAACAATACACATGGGCATCCGGTCTTACTACTAGAGATCAGGGGAAATTACTAGAAGTCCAGGTGAAAAAAATCCCAACCCCCACAAGGGCTTGAACCTGGGACCTCTAGCACTCACAGGGTGGACATCATGCCTCGAGACCACACAGCCCCCTTCCACATCAGAAAGAGACAATCTACATTCTCTGGTCATGTGATGAAAAGGTGAAAAATGGAGTACATCATGATGGTAGGAAAGTTGGAGGGGAGGAGAGGCAGAGGGAGACTTAGAGAACAGATACTGGATAGTCTGAAATCATGGCATTGACGATTATCTGTGTCAGAGTTGATTGAAAGTACATGAGACAGAAGGTTGTGGACTACCAACGCCACATGGCATGGATTTTAAGAAGAAGATCCCTTTTTCACTCTTCCAGGAGACACAAAATAATACTGTACCTTGTAACTAGCAGCCAAATTTGGAGTCTGAAAATCCCAAGCTTTGACAATCAAATACATGGTTTCTTCACCATTGGCACCTAAAACCACATCTCTACCAACAAACATATATTCTATGGTATTAAGAAAAAACTCACCTAAATTAATCTGGCTGATGTCACTGCATCTATTTTTGTACAGTGAATGAGAATTCTGAAAAATTACAGAAATATCAGTATTATAAAATGACAGAGATTTACAAATATAAATGAGAACTATATAGATAGAATGTTCTATATACAGTCTTCAATGTTCTTTTTCTCTGTGTTCACCGGCTGTAACCTCAGGTGGAAAGTTCTAATTACTCATTCACTTCTGGACTTTGGTCTTGTTCTATCACCTAAGTTCTGCATGCCCATGTGTTTTACATATCTGGCTTATTTGTATGCAGACCTTTGGTTTCTCATCTCTCAAGCAATTAATCACCTGTTGTTGGACGGTGGGTTGGGGGCAGTGAGTCTATTTTTGCCCCCCCCCCCTTCCCCATAACTATTTAAAAAAAAATAAAGCCTCAAGAACCCACATAGTGTATTTGAGAGACTAGACAAGCTGAGAAAAACATGATAACACTGGAGGTTCAAAGAGGACAGTGCAAAGACAGACAAAAAAAAGGAAAATGTGACTGAGCCCTTTAGGAAGCAGACAATGGTCACAAAGTGATCTGAGAAATTGTTTGTAGTCAGTCAAGATTACATGAGAATATGATGAGGGGAGACAAACTTCAAAGTTTAATGATGAGTGGACAATTTGATGAGTAAAATCTATTTTCCTTCTCCCTTCTTCTTCTTCTTCTTCTTCTTCTGCGTTTGACATCAGTTTTATTATGCTGTCACTTTCTGGTCTGTAATCTCCATTCTGCCTTCTCCACTCCCGCTTGAAAGACTGCTTTAGTGCTGTTTTGGTTTCCTTGTAGCTGTGTGGTGGATGAGGTTGTGGAAGATTACTCCCAGCTTTTGCCAACTCATCTGCTCTCTCATTTCCTTGAATACCACAGTGGGCTGGTATCCACTGCAAGACCAGTTCTGCTTCCTTGGAGAGTAAGCCAATGTTGGTCCTTAGATCTGCAATTAGTTTGTCTTGTTTTTTGCTGGATAGTGCTTGGAGAACAGACAATGAGTCACTAAGTATAACAATTTGGTGCCCTCTGTGTTCTTGATTGATGAGATGATAGACTGCAGAAAGGAGGGCAGTTGCCTCAGCTCTGAAATTAGTGCAGATGTCACCTGCTGGTAGAGAGAGAGTTTCTGCTCTACTGCTAGGGGATTTAATGTATATTCCACAGCATCCCTTTCTGACAGCTTCTGTAGCAGAGCCGTCGGTGAAAACCTGAGTCCAAGTGGTGTTTGGATACATCTCATCAAGCATAGCAAGAGCCAGGGTTCTCTGTTGTGTCTCCATCTGGGCATCTTTTGAAGTGATCCCTGGCACCGTTAGGACTACATTTGCCTTATCTGTCTTGCTTGTCCATGTTTCTGGCCTAAGTTTTTCGCACAGTGCTACATCTCTTTCAAGCAGATTTTGGTGCTGTCTGTACAGTTCTCTAGCAAGGTGGTTGGGGCTCTGACGCTTCAGTCTGTTTTTTGTTCTCTCTTGAAATTTAAAATGCAGTGGATGACTTTCAAGTATTTTTAATTTCTCATACTGTAAAAGAGTTTTGTATTGTCTTCTTAGTTCCAGTGGTTTCCTTCTCCCTGACAGTGATTTCAGATGTGAAGGCCCTGGCCTCCATGAAGTCTGTGGTGTAATGCCCGTCTTCTATTGTTCCATACAGCTTGGTTTCCAAAACTGCCAATTACTGCCTTCATATACCACTTCTGCGGTATAAGCGGACGGGGGGGTCCTATGGACCTGAGGATTTAAGGCCGCGTGGTTAGTGCTGTCGCAACGACTATGCAGCTGAAGATTTTATTTTGCCCCCGACAGAAAAAAATCCCAAGCATTACCAAGGATTCGAACCCGGGTCTCCCGCATGAGAGCCCAGCATTCTAACCAGTCGGCCAGCTGCTCCTCTTGTTTTATATAGGAATGCCAAATGACCAAACCTAGGATTGCTTGAATTTCTTGTATATATGTGGGCGGTCTGTTGTGTCCAGTTTGCAATCTAAGAATAATGGTCTGTTTCTTTTGTGTAAGGAGGCTGAATGAGTCTTTAGGATTGTCTCCTGGATGGGAAGTGTTCTAGTGGATTCTGATGGCTGTAGACTGTTCTTTGCGTTTGGTTTCGTATGCTTCGGTCAGACCATCGGGTGGGCCGCCTCTATAAACTCGCATATCAGCAACAGGTCCTTCATGGTTCCCCCAAAGCTTGCTCTGCACACTTTGCTCTAGAGGTCAGGTGTCTTTTCCAAGTTGTAGGTAGAGTGGGTAGGTCGGCAGATTGTGCTCAAGCGATTGTGATCCTGTTGGACAGGCACACTGTACGGGCTGTACAATCTTTATTTTATGCATGTGGTAGTTAAGCCTGCAATGTCCTGTTCGTAGATCTAAAATTGTTGTATGTTGCTTTCTGTTGATTCTGCTGATGGGGTCTTTTCTTCTCATAACATGGTCAAACAATGATGACTGTCTCCTTCTGATGTCTGTGACAAGTCGTCTTTGAGCCATCGCCTTTTTCAATTCATCTTTGTTAGGTTGTCCAAAGAATTTTAAAGATTCTTATGTAAACCACATCTCCGAGGCTTCAAGAAGTTGTCTGACTTCTTTACTAACTGTCTAGGACTCACAGCCATATGTTAAAACTAGCTCTATGTAGCATGCAAGAATTCTTTTCCTAACCTCCAATGACACAGATTCAATGCACAAAACGTTTTTCATTTTATAAAGTGCAGTTTTGGCTTGTTGTATTCTTTTTTTTTTAAATTTTTTATCTCTGAGATAAATCTTCTGTCAGATGTTATCCGTGTACCTTTATACTTACATTTCTGTACCTGTCTTGAAATAACACCTTTGACTTTTACTACACATTTAGGACTATTTTTTCTTTGACATTAACATTACTTTTGTCTTCACATTATTCAAGTTGATGCCCATTATATTACTTTCTACCATTTCTATCACTATCAAATCTATCATTCTCTGTAATTCTCTCTGACATGTTGCTATCAAGACAGCATCATCAGCATAGCGCAGGTTTATTATGACCATAAACCACAATTCCTGGAATATCCATGACAGATTTAATTATACATTCACAGTATAATAAAAACAAACCAGCCTGTTGAAAATACTCGTTTTGGACATATTTAGGCCATCTCCATTTTTTTGCTATAAAATGTTAAATTATGTAGCTACTTTATATATTCTGCATCTATAGGTTCTATTCATGGGTAAAATAACTGTTTGGAACCTAATGCCTAGTGGTAGGCACCAAAGGTTGTTAGGAAAGTTGCACAACATAAAGACTTTTTCCCTCCTTTTCTTTTGCCAAACTCCATTTTTTGCCTCCAGTTTGCTATAAAATGTCAAGTTATACAACTACAAAGTAGCCTCACCATGTAATTTAAAAAGTAAGCAGCAGATTCTCATATCCACTCCTGCCAACCTCCGTTAAGGATCAGCACACAATTTAGTTTTATAATAATAATATCGTAACGCTTTGGGAAAAAAATTATGTGGCTATAATTTCTAAGCTTTGAAAGCTAATAAAAGCTCAGAGGGAAAATCATGCAAAATGTGATAGTGCGGCCAAGCAGTCATGTTTTTCCTTTTCTTATATGTTTGCCCTTAACAGGACAGTTGTCATGTTATGTTGTGGTTTACAGCTAGGACATGATATCTGGGTGTTTTGGGCCAACATATCCAATTTCTTCAAACTCCTAATTAGTCACCTTTTATGACATGCTTGTTAGAAGGCAGTGGCTCATTTCTTTTTCCCCTCAAAACGGGACCCCTAGAACCCACATGTGCAAGCTTTCAAGGTCTAGGCATGACAATTTCTCTAGTGAGTCACAACCAGAGCACTATGCAACAGCTCTGCAATGATGAACTGGATGAATTGTGGCAATGACCAAATAAAATACATATGACTGTTTCTGGTTGTGCTGATGAGGTGCACTTTCTGTTGATGGAACAGATGTGGACAACATCATATCTCTCCCATGTGAGTTCCGAAGCTACAATATTTGGAAGTAAAACACCCACTGCCTTCTTGGCAAGCATTTTACGAAAAGGTTAATTCTTTTTCTTCTTCTCCGTTTTCACCAGCTATAAACTCTAGCATAAAGATCTTGAGTTTTGTGTGCACATCTTTTTTATGCAGCTGGCTTAATTTGTACGCAGACTGTTAGTTCCTTAACTTTGATCACTTCTGAACACTGCCACCCTTATTCTAGAATTTGAGTGTCGCATGCACATCCATTTTACAAATGTGGCTTATTTAAATGCAGACATTTGGTTCCTTGTCTCTCAGGTAGACACACTCCAACTTCAAAGGAAACACCCATAATAATTATTCATCTTTTCCCACGTGTGGATGTGCATGCGACACTCAAATTCTAGAATAAGAGTGGCAGTGTTCAGAAGTGAACAAACTACCGGAACTTTCCATCTGAGTTTAAAGCCGATAAACGCTAAGAAGACATAACATCGGGGAGAATATTCAATGTCTTCAGAAATAGTTAAACACCACTCAGTCATTGGTCATCAGTCAAGGTTCCAGCTTCAGATGGGTTGCCACTCTGCTCCTGTGCCAGTGGAAATCATACATAATGTCCTGCACTGTCCCATCTAAGAACTAGTGAAAAACATGTCAGTCCAGGCAAAATACTGAAGCTCGCACATGCAAAATAAATGCATAAGGCAGTCATTAGATGTGCTAACACTAACAGACCCACACCAGAATTGCAGCTCACTGCTGATGCAAGCAGTCGACTGTGAAAGCTGGCACACACCATTCTGAACGTAATCGGCCACCTGCCATTTTAGTGCAGTTCACAACACAAGGACATCACAGGCACAACAGAAAAAACATTCCACATGAAACCTACAGCTCACAGTGTCACACCAAGCACTCAACTAGGTGATGGAATCTTTGGACTCCCCGTCAATAAATAGGGAATTTAAATCAGCAAGCAATGACTATAAACAAACAACTTTTCAGAGCATCAGCTGTAAGCCAGCATCTGCCATGCTGGACCGGAAGTTCTAAACAACATTCAGTAACAACACTCAATGATATACTTACTGTTTCTGCATTTGCCACTTTTCTAGCTGTTGTGTGACTGGTTACAACCTTTATTGTATCACTGCTCACAGCTTGCTGAGGTATTTGAACAGTTACAGCTGAGGACATTCCTGCACTTGATGAAACAGTGGATGAAGATGAACTGTCGCCATCTTTCCTTTGCTTGTTAATCTGCTGATTACTTGAAGATGGAATCTGTTGTGCATGTTTTGGTGATACGCCAGCAACATTGTTATTCTGTGCAACTAAACTTGTCTGTAAGCTCCTGAAGTTAATACCTGTATCAATTAAAGATAAAAATAATTTTGTTTGATGACTGCGTTAAGATACTTTGTTGGCACCTTTAGTTCTTTCCAGACAATAGTGTTATACTGTCTACAGGGAGGCATGGAAATCACAGTCCATGGAGGCGGAAAGCATGACTAGCAAGACCTACACGTATTAAGAAAAGACTTCCACAGTTAGAGCACCAAGCATTCAACTAGGTAGCTGAGTGATGGAACGTTCGGACTCCCAGTCCTTACTTGAATGTTAGTGTTTTCAGTTTATATTTTATAAACAAAAACCCATACACAAAAAAAAAAACAAAAAAAAGAAACCATGCAGTCAATAACCTAGGTAAGCTAAGATTATTGCAGTACCAGCTTAACAGGAAACGGGTCACTCCACAGTTGCTCTGTTCCTGTGCCAACGGAAACTACACAGACTGTCCATCACTGCCCTTTGTGGAAACATTAGCACAGACTGCAGTCTCAGCAAATAAAATATAATACACATGCATTAAGTGCATAGAGCAGCCTTCAGAAGTGCTAACACAAATAGTCTGATGCTAGAAAGGCAGATCATCAATAACGGAAGCACAAAAGGGTGAAACTAATATATCAACATCAATAGTCATTTATGATTCCTAAAAAGTACAAGATTACAATACCAAGGGGTGATTTTTATTTTTATTTAACTCTTTGAGTCCCAAGGAACGCATCATACGTTCATAGGTTCCTACCTAGAAGCCCAATGAACGCATGATGCGCCGATTTCATTATTTTCTGTACTACCCCCGGGCCTGTGATGCTAAACCCCCTGGGACTCAAAGAGTTAATGTTTTTTTTTGGTTGCATCTTTACTTGTGTTCATGCTTCTGATCTTGATTAAATATTTCCTTATGTGGGTTCGGGGGCCCCACTGTGGGGGAAAACAAGAAAACCCACTGCCTGCCGAAAAGCATGTTGTAAAAGTCAAATAATTTGGAGCTTCCTTCGAAATCGGAGTACATATGTCTGAGAGGCAAGGAACCAAGAGTCTGCATGCAAATGAGTCAGACCTGTTAAATGGATGTACACACAACACTCAGGTTCTTGAATAGGACTAAAATCCAGGAGTGGGCGAACAACCAGAGCTTTCCGCCGGAGTTTACCGCCGGTCAATGCAAAGAATAAGAAGACACTTAAATATTTTCCCAGATCCACAATGCACACATAACATAAAACTAAAACTTACAATCTTTAATAGGACCTGGAATGAGAAAATATTTTCCCAAGGAGACGTTGTCAATACCTTGATGAAGAGCATCAGGGATGTACTGAGAGCTAAATATAGCCAAGTGCTGTTTCAGATAAGCTTCGCTGTTGTAAAGTCTGAAATAACACCACCATCATGAATGAATAACTTATCAATTATAATAAAATGCATATTTATTTTTATTTAGTATAGCTAGTCAGTCGACAGATCTTTCTCACTGCACACTGAAACACTCAGTTAATAAGTGCTTGGATCCCCTCCTCAGTACATCTCTTTGTAGGTAGTGGCTGAGGACACCAGTTATAGGCTGGTTTTTTATTCATCTTTGGCTTCCTGTTTAGTGCTTGTCAGGCCTTACCTCTTCTGATTTGCTGTTTTTTGCAGTCATGATTGCAGATTCACCATCATGCCTTGATTTGTAAAAATTTCCTTTTATATATTTTTCTTACAGAGTATTTAGTATGTCAAATTATTCTATTGCATGTTCACCAAGCAAAGTAGCCAGGTCTGCAAGCATACCAGCTCCCTTATTTCCTTTTACCCCTACATGTCCTGCCACAAAAATAAAACTGAGCTATTACCTGCATCTTTCTCCTCTACACGGTGTGTAAGCATGATCGTATGTGTATGCACGTATGTATATTTGATTGTATGTATTTGCTATCCAAGCTTTGAATTTTTTACCCAATACTCATAACTATGCCATATGAAAAAAGATGCTTTGTAGATCAACATACAACCGATGCGTGAAAGATGAGTTTCTGGAAGGGCCGAATGCAAGACGGACCTGGGTGTCCAATTTTTGACCCTTCAAAAAAAGTGTGTGTATTTGTTCATTAATTTTTCTGCCCTCCTCTCTCAATGGAGCATAGGCACATACCAAGCCGTTTGAGAATTTTTTCATTACTTGATGGACCTCTCAGCCTTATTTTTCTTCAAAATAAGGTAGCCAGTGTTACATCTTTTGGGGTTCAAATTCTAGGAACTTCTTCTTCTGTTTCTTCTTTCCGTTCACTAGCTGTAAACTCCGGCGGAAAGTTCTGGTTGTTCATCCATTTCTGGACTGTAGTCCTGTTCCACAAACTGGGTGTTGCATGTGCATCCTTTTTACAAATCGGATTTATTTGTAGGTTCCTTGCCTCTCAGGCAGATGCACTCCAACATGGAAGGAAACTCCCAATTAGTTGACACTTATGACAAGCTTTAGGGAAGGCAGTGGGTCTATTCTTGTTTTCCCCATAATAGGGCCCTTGAACCCACATGGGGAACACAGAATGAATCCACTGCTTCTAAAAACAATCATGTCATAAATGGCAACTAAATAAGGGTTTGCTGTTGAAACTGGATGTTCCCCATTTAAGTTCCGGTGCCCCATTGAGATGGGGGTAAAAAAGGGGTGTGGGGGGGGGGGGGTAATTGGCACACTGCCTCTCTAACAAGCATATCATAAGATAAAGTCAGAGTGAAAATGCCTGAGGGGCAAGGAACCAACAGTCTGCATACAGATAAGCCAAGTCTGTGAAATGGATGTGCACACAAAACTCAAGTTCTAGAATGCAGATAAGAAGAAACAACGTTAGGTGTAAGGCCAAAAGGTCGAGAACACTGTAAATCACAATACAATATGCCAACTGTCTTTTTAGGGTGAACATGTTCCTTAACAGGTGCCTGTGTGGGAATAATGATAGAATCAATCATGTGGATATTTGGGAGTGACCTAAGCTAATTCCGGTGTGAGTCGGGGTGAAAAAAATACGTAGGTTTTGGATAGGGCAAATATTGAGAAAAACTCTGAACAAGATAACTATAATGTCTTTGCACTGGAAACCAGATGGGCACAAAAATAAAGGCAATAGCAACAAAACCCAACAAAAAAAAACACACGTGGAGAAAGGAGCTAAAGAGTAAAGTTAAAATGACAGGGAGAATATGGGGTTAGCTGCATGTGATAGTAAAGGATAGAATGATTTGGGTTCAGCTGGTTTAGGGCCTATGCTTCACTGGGGGATACAGAATAAGATGAATTTCAACGGAGACAAAATTGGGCAAAAGTGGTTAAACTAACAGTTCAGATATAAAGAGTTAATACATCTTATTAGAAGCCAGTGAGAATACTGTGCCCCGGAAACAAATGGACACAATTACCTTGGCTCCCAGGTTGACCCAGCCTAAAATGGGTACTAGGTAAAGTCATGGGAAGTAAAGGCAGCGGCCTATATACTGACCACATCACCCACCAAGGCTGATTGATCTATAAGAATATGAGTCTAGTATCATATACCAGATGCGCCATAGGTGTAAAAAAGGTTGTTTACATTAATTCCCTTGAACACATGGACAAGAGCATAATATATGTAGATGAACTCTACCAACATGTTTGTGTCCTCATGCTGCCAGTCATCACTGAACACATACTGGGAAAGAGTGACATCTTCAAGCTTGCCTCCATTATCGACTGTAGGGAAAATAAATTTAACACAGATTTTGCAAGATGCGTTTCAAGATTTATATTTACCGGTACTATACTTGTATTAGGTAAAAACATATTAATTTGTATTCTTTACACAAAACAGGCCAACGTCTGTAGTTTAGGTATTATGAACGCAGTTTGTAAATCCTGGGGGTCAGGTTCAATCCCAGCTGCAGGCGATCAGACAGCAGATCACTTTACGTTGGTTTTGACAGAGGTATCAAGAGCCGACAGTTCAGGAGGCAACGGGGAAACAGTAAAACCATCTAGTGAAATTCTTAACAGCCAAAAATGCTGAGTCTGGTTCTGTAAAGCCATGTAAAGTATATGCAATAAACATCATTTTTTTTTAAACAAAAAACACAGCTGGGGTGGCATAATAGTTAAAGTGCTTGCCTGCCGAGACAGTGTCCGGGTTAACCCTTTCACCCTGAGAAACCTAAATCTAGTGAAGGGGTTAAATCCTCAGAGATAGCAAAATTTTCCTGTGAGTACAGCTCTGGTGTGGCCAAAGTTTATAAGAAAATGGGTACCAGGATATTTCCATAATGGCAATGAGCATTATTCCTCATCCTCATCCTCATCTATGTACAGTTACCCGTACATGTCCTGGCTAAGAAATCCTGTCGCAGTTTACAAGAAAATGAGAGTAATGACAAACTGGCAAAAAGGAGCTCAAATATAAGAGCCAGATATTTCAGTTCCATACATCCAAAGAAAAATCTAGTAAAAACAATCAGAATATTAATTGTCCAGCTACAGGATCCTCATCCTCAAATGTTGCAGTCCTGACACTTCACACCTCGACAGCCTTATACACCACTGAACTGTATGCACCTTTATACAAGTCATCTTATGCTTACAATGCCATCAGTCTTCTTTTTTCTATGCATTCACCGGCTGTAAACTAAGGCGGAAAGTATTGGTTTTTCGTCCACGTCTGGATCCTAGAATGGTTCTAGAAAATGAGTGTTGCATGTACATCCATTTTACACTTCTGACATATTTGCATGCACACTGCTGGTTCCTTGCCTCTCAGGCAGATGCACTCAGCCTTCAAAGTAAGCTCCCATTTAGTCAACTTTTATGACATGCTTTTGTGTAGGCACTGGGTCTATTCTTGTTTTTCCCAAATGGGACCACTGAAGCCACACAGGAAATGCCATCAGTATGATCTTGGGTCCCCCCCCCCCTCCCCCCAGCCTCTGCTGGTTGTGAAGCCTGCTGGTGCAAAGGTCTAATGTTCAAATCTATATAAGCCTATAAGCTTATTCAATTCTTTTTACTCGTGCATGTCCTGGCTAAGAAAGCCTGTCGCAATTTACAAGAAAATGAGAGTAATGACAAACTGGCAAAAGCTGCTCGAATATAAGAGCCAGATATTTCAGTTTCATACATCCAAAGAAAAATCTAATAAAAACAATCAGAATATTAACTGTCCAGCTACAGTATGAATACTGCTGTCTCTCCCTTCTCCATTCTATCCATTCTTCCCCTGGGTTCCTACCTGAAAGTCTGACTACTGTGACATTGCACAAATCCTAATCTGGATGTCAACCCAACAGGGCAAACCCCATATAGCTCATTCAACCTTCAAAGAAGTTAAAACTTGCCACCCATAACAGCTACATTAGCAGTCCTGTGTCAGAATGGGTGTCACTTTCCCATCTCAAAGCTCCAAAATCAGCAGGTTAGGCTAAACTAGTATTGAAACTTCACATCCCAAAAGAAATATTAAAGAAGGAAAACAGATCATGACTATGGACTGGTGGGATTGAGCATAGGTTGCCAGGAAGGCTAACCCAGGCAACATATGCTTGAAGACACTGGATGTGTCATTAACAGGCATAAATATTGCAGCCGTGCTGTAAATAGACACAACGGAATTAAGTCCTTGGATTAATGAAGAGGAGAAGGAGGAAGAGGAAGAAGAATCTAGGCTGAAAACATTTTCCATGTGTTATAGGTATTTTAGGAAGCTTCAACCCCTTTCCCAGAGTGAATGGAGTACCATACTTTCTTAATACATCATAGTGGCATACAAACAGGGTTTTTAGCCTTCTACAGTGTGGCTTAATTATACTGTTAAATATGAAAATCCGAAGGAGGCAATCTAAATTCTTTGATCAAGTCATGAGAAGGAGAAAGCTGGATTACACTGTGATGATCGGAAGGTTAGAGGGGGAAAAAAAGCTGTGGGAGACTGAGTTAGAAAAACCTTAAAAGACTGATATCATGCAATGGCAGATCATCTGTGTCAGAAATACACGAGACAGAAGGCTGTAGTTCAGCAGGACTACCAACACTACAAGGCATGGACAAAAACAATAAAAATTAAAATAATGTCACACAAAACGCATAAAAAAATGTAAACAAGCTCACTTGCAATTATAAATGCACAAACATCAATTTGTGTCAGATTTACAATGGAGAGATAATATAATTACAACTAAAACTTACCCCAGAGTTTTTTAACATTGTCTGGGCAGCTTTCAGAAAACCATGCAGTTTTGTTTTCAAATATCATCTTGTCTTATAAATTTTCAATCCAGAAAACATGTCTCTGGAAAACGTTGCAGAAACAATTATGGCAAACATTTAACTTATTCTACACCAAGAATGATAAATACACCAATTATAACCCTGAGAATTTAAAATGATACCTATTATTAATGTGAAAACTACTAGTTCTCATAATGAAGTTCTATTAATTTTGATAATGGCAGAAGCGAAATATAAATTTAAAAAGAGAACAGGAACTAGTACCATCAAAATTTTAACTCTTCGCTTGCTGCTGAAGATGGGGACGGAGCGCTTATGAAAGTGTTGCGAGTGCTGTGATGTCAATTCTTAATTCAACTTTCAACAAAGAGAACAGGAATGGCCTAAAATACCTTCAACGGATGAGGGCATACCTTGTTGTTGCTGCTGACATTATACACTCTCTGCTTAGCTGTCTCCTTATAAACAAAGGTAACCGCCTAAAGAGGGGATGGTCCTGGAAGACAGAAGCAGAGGAAAACGTTAGTCAAAAATTCCCTGTGGAACATACCAGGCTCAGTGGTGAATGGATAGAAAACACCAAAAAGAATGCAAGGACACAATGATCAGGAATTGCTGAGAATAGAGCCAAACAGCTTTTGATGCTGAAATAAGGACCCTCCTCGATGTGTATACTAACCAGGTGACAGCATCACCTATACAGATGGCTCAGCGATTCAAGAAGTGCAGGTTAGGTGACACACACAGTGCAGGTGAATAAGAAAACAGTAAAGAATAAACTCAGGCATTAAGTTCAACAACTCATAGCATGACGATGGAGATAGCAGCTGTCTAAGAAAGGTACACCTGCATACGTTTAACTCTTTAAGTCCCAAGGAACGCATCATACATTTATAGGTTCCTACCTAGAAGCTCAATAAACACATGATGCGCCAATTTTTTTACTTTCTTTACTACCCCCTGGGCCTGTGATGCTAAACCCTCTGGGACTCAAAGAGTTAAGAAAATCCAAACCTACAATTCACTACTAGAATGGGTTGACAGCATCCAGAAGCCCTGCCTTAAGAAACTGCCTTAGCTGTATATATCTGACTACGGAACACTGTAAAAGGAAATAAAACAGTTGCCAGACAGGCCATGTCTGCGCTGGTTAGCGGAGGAAGCAATGTAGACAGGGCAGACCTAATGAACACACTGTGTTCCAGAGACGCTGAGGACAAAGAAGTCAAAGACAATGAAACGCCTATTGAAAATATGTTTTTAACAAAAGCAAGCATACAGAAACCAGTTGCGGGACAAAGAAAGACACACCAGTCAACTCCTATTGGGTAGGGTGAGCATGCAGACAATGAGATGACTGCTGCATTAGAGAACAGAGCACGAACGGATCGGAACGATGAGCCAGGATGACGATTTGGATTTTTGGCTCTCCTCCAAACTTCTACCCCATAATATGGCGGCCAGACAAATTCCCTAACAGGGCCTCAGGCCTATGCAAAATGTGTACTTCCTGTCGAGGAACAAATCACTGCAAAACTAAGATCGGCTCCGAATAACAAAACAAATGCTCTAACAGGGTCTCAGCGATATATTAATTGCGGACCTGTTTCTGCGACTATGCCGCACCGCCGACGGTATCCCCCGCGCCACTACGCACGGCGTGGATGGGAGGCCTAAACTAGATGGTTGGGACTCACAAGCAGCAGCTACCGCATCTTCTGCAACTTTTTCTGATTTATTTGCTCTTGAGTCCCAGGCATCTAGTTTAGATCCCCATCAGCGCTGCTCGTAGCAGCGCCGGGGATACTGTCAGCGGTAAGTTTAACCGCGTTTTTGCGCATGCTGAAAAGTGTGAGGACAACAACTACGCTAATCTACGTCGGAGCGCGTGGTCTCCCCGCCATGTCGCTATTATCGCCTGTAATGTTGACTGTCTTGAAACTGTCAATAGTCGCTAGTATGGCCTGTTAGTATCATCTGTAGAAACACTCAAAATTGTCAAGTCGCTATTATCGTCTGCTACTAACGTCTGCAGTGTTGCGTCTCTTGAAATGTCAAGTAATCCTTGTTTTGCCAAGATGTGCTCGTTACAGGAAATCCGCATTTTACATACGAATGAAGCCCTGTTAGGGTATTTGTTTGGCCGCCATAATATAGGGTAGAAGTTTGGAGGAGAGCCGGATTTTTTTAAAGTATCCAGAAACAATAAGTTGTTTACCCTTTGGCTCGGTATTATTATGGATATCGCAACCCTTCGGCCATGATTCCATGATAGGTACCGTAAATCTGGGATAACAAGTATTATCCCTTCAAGTTGAAGTAACAAGTGTGATAACGGATAACAAGGTCAACAGCTCTCAATCGTGTTACTGTTTAATATTTCTTCTGTGAGTCATGAGTGACGGGCAATAAATAAAAATATTTGTTAACAATCTCCCCTCACAGTCATTCATAATATAATAAGCGGCTCACTATTGTCCGAAAATTATGTCTGCTAGTATTCTTATTATTACAAGTTTAGTTTTGTAAATCAAATGTACTAATGCACCAACACCTAAAAAAATGTGACCCTGCATTTTCTAATAAGTAAAATGCGTTCAAATTATAAGTACGTTCAATGGTTAAAATTGAATTTCTGTACTGTTACATTTATTAATTGAAAGAGAATTCCGTTTATACGCAAACTTTTCTACTTCTGTAATGGGAATGTAAAAGTTTCGACATTTGTTACTACTGAAACGAAACTATGCGGAATGGACAGTGATTCCAGAAACGACAAATATTCGGTAATAGTAATAATAAATTACAGAAACTGTCTTATTTTTTTAAAGGGGGTTAGGGGGGGGGGTGTTGTATTACCCAGATTTGTACTAATGATGCATTAAATGCCCTGCACATGGATGTTATATATGACGGTATATAAACGTTATTTTATTAACTCAACTAAGCACACAACAGGCTTCTGATTCTCCTTTAACGAATGTTTCGTCTTTTCAATTTTACGCTGTCGGGAGAAATATCTGGTTCGTGTCATTCTCCTGTTACGCATCTGAACCCTCTACGACAGCCTTATTAACGATAATATGTAAAATCAATGTCATTTAAATTAAAACTAGGTTGGTGTTTGGTCTAGTCTTTTAGGGTGCACCAAGTTTATAACCCCCCCCCCCCCGTGGGTTCCAGGACCCTATTGTGGAGGGTAGGGGGATGGACCCACTGCCTCTCTAACAAGTACGTCATAAGAGTCGACTAACTAGGGGTTTCCTTCACAGTTTATAGCTTCTGCCTGAAAAGCATATAAGCCAGATCTTGGCTTTCCTCCGAACTTCTACCCCCGCATTATGGCGGCCTGAAATATCCTTACGGGGCTCAGTCCAATTAAAAATATGCGAACTTCCAGCAATGAACGAATCGCGGCAAAACTATGATCGGCTCTGTATAGCGAAACAAATGCTCTCTAACAGGGTCTCAGCGATATGTTAATTGCGGACCTGTTTCTTATTGTTTCTGATTTGTTCGGCTCTGCCAGCGGCGCCATAATGCCGGGGTAGAAGTTCGGAGGAGAGCCCAGATCTGTAACGTGTATATGCACTCAAAACTCAAGTCCAGAAGTAGATAAAAACCAGAACTTTTTGCTAGGGTTTAGAGCCTTTGAACACGTAGAGCACAAAAAAAAAAGGCTATCTTCCGAATAACGGTCCCAAATTATCGAGGCCCAAAATATACCCTAACAGGGCCTCAGTCACATGTCAATTGCATACTTCTGCCATTGCAGAAAGTATCTCCCACGCTGCTACGCTCAGCGTGGATTGGGCTAAACTAGATGTCTGGGACTCACAAGCAAATAAAATGAAGAAAGCTGCAGTAGATGCTGCTTGTGAGTCCCAGCCATCTAGTTTAGCCCCAATCCACGCCGCTCTTAGCGGCGTGGGAGATACTTTTGGTGGTAGTTGCCGGAAGTGCGCAATTTAGGTCCCCGGAAGTCCACCAGTGACATGTGACTGAGGCCCTGTTAGGGTATATTTTCGGCCTCGATAATTTGGGATGTTATTCTGAAGATAGCCAAAAAAACTTTTTCAGAGGTTAAACTCCAGAGAGTCAAATCCTGAATGTCACTACCACAAAGAAAATCCCACATACCCTATCAGTGTACACCCCCCACCCCCAGCATGTAACAGCTGACAGAAATGTTGTGTTTTACAGTTCTTTTTTTGTCGCCATGAGCTAGGCATGGTAGATTTTGTATGTGTGCTCTGACAGAAGAATTTCCATGACCATACCAAGATTTTGACCCTGGATCTCACATATGAAAGCCCAGCATTCTTGCTTTTTGGATAGCTTGTCCTCATTCAGTTTTATAAAATTTGGCTCTCCTGTCAACTACGGCCGGTAGACAACAGTAGACGGCCGGTTAGTCGGAGTTCTGTCTCACCTTGGCTACAGTGCAAATACGGAATGGAGAAGGAGGGAACGAAACAATTGACACAATTTCTGTGTGTTGGCGATAGACAGCGTGCACTGCCCTGCTATAATCATACGGTTACGGTTTGGGTTAGAGTTAGGGTTTAGGTTAGGGTGTGGGTTAGGGTTACGGGTAGTGTCGCCGCATCTCGTCGTCACACAAACTCAAAGTAGCAACCCAAACCCTAAACCTAACCCAAACCCAAACCATATGATGACAGTAGGGCACTGCACACTGTCTATCACCAACACACAGTAATTCTGTCACTTGTATCGTTCCCTCTAATCCACTCCGTAAGGCGTCGCAAGAAGCGGTAATTGATCGCCGTCGCTAATTTGAGTCGCAGCGCGGGGTCTGCTAGGCATGTCGACCTCACTTTGTGGTCTGATTCGTGCCTTCTCCAGTCCGTAATTGCACTGTAGCCAAGGGACAGAACTTCGACTAACCGGCCGTCTACAGTTTACAGGAGAGCCATAAAATATATTATAAGTAGTGACTTTTCCAGTAGTTCATTTAGTTTTTTGTGGCACTTTTGACTTTGTTGGAGGAAAACCAGCTTCTCT